ACACGCACACCAACCCCCATCATCATCCCCACACCGTTTTCCCCAACCGCATTATTTTTTCCCCCTCATTTCTCCCCTCAATTCTTACGTGATACCGTTCGTTACTTTCTCCAACACACAATTCAGTACCAAAGTTCGATGTTGGAGCCAAGTCAAGGCTGTCTTAGATCTAAGAAAACCTAGAGCCAAGTCCCATCTCGAAGCACGGTTGGTTTATATTTCGGTCACCTCTGTGTCTATAGGCCTACTCAATAGCTCAATGGGCCAAAACCAAATTTATTACACTTTAAGTTGCGGGCATTCCAAAGTTGCGAGCCGAACTGGATAGGCCCATCAAGAAAAGGGAGCAGTGGAAAACCAAACATCTTTAAAATCAAACAAAGGTACGAATTAAAACTGACGAAGGTTAAAATAATATCGAGTCAAGTCACCACACCAGTTTTTGCTCGGATGTGTCCATTTGTAGGAGCTGTGCGTTTGACATCTTCGTTTGTCAACAAGTTCGTTTATGTTTGGATTAAGCATCCGTGTTACGAAAATGTTCTGAAAGTCTACTCTAAAACCTTCTCGCTGGCGGGATATCATAATTCTTTGTGGGCCGAACGAACGAGCATTGAGTTTAACACTTTGGGCCCAAAAAAGTCGAAAACGAACAATTTTCGTAAAACATTGCTTTTTTCTTCAAAAGTACAAGACAGTAAAACGACGTGGAATAATATCATAGCCAAGAAGTAGAAGCTAGCCCAGGATAGGGGAAAGGTGAAAAAAAAAAGAATTGTGTTTGTAAGTGGCCTATACTCTGATCCATGGTGGAAAGGACAATGATGATGATGCTGATGATGAGGCTTTTTTCATCGTAGAAACATTTCACAACGGATGCACAGGCTCGCAAAATGTGAAATGTAAAAAGAACCAAACGGTTTATAATGTTATACAAAACCAGGTAAAACTTTCATTTTTAAGCAAGTAAATTATGACAAAAGGTGAGGGCAACACTTCTGAGCTCGATTATGTAATAAAGCATTGTTGGAAACCAAGATAAATATATACAGTCTAACGAACTAAACACAGCTAGATTAGCTAGGGGGAGACAACTTACGATGTAGACCTCCGAACTCTGCTGAGAACACAACACTGTGGTTATTAACACACACGAAATCCTGGAACTAACTCACAGCGAATGGTTTGGAGAAGCTAACGAAGGATGAGGAGAAGGGGAGGAGGAGGAGGAGAAGGAGGAGAAAAGAGGAACAGGAGAGATTCCATAGAGATAGATCGAATGAGCAGAGGTCTCTCTCTCTCTCTCTCTCTCTCTCTCTCTCTCTCTCTCTCTCTCTCTCTTTGCGTCGGCCGTACGTTGCCGGGAGCGAACGAAAAGACTGTGGGTATGATGCTGGTGCATGCACGCGCGCGCAAAGCTAGGGTAACATCAGGGGAGGAGGAGGGGAGACAAGGCACGCACGGAGTGAGCTTGCACGGGTATGTGAGGGAGGCTTTGTGTGGTGTGACGTGGTGAGGGGAGAGAGGGGAGAGAGGGGAGAGAGGGTATGGGTAGGTGTGAGGGGAGGGTGTATGGGTGTATGTATGTGCGTGTGGGGGGGGGGGGGGGGGGGTGTGGGGTGTGTGGGGGGGGGGGGGGGGGGGGGGGGATGAGACGAGACTGCTTACACTGCTCACCTTTCTCTCGCGTGGTAGGTAAGGATACCACAGATTTAGGAAGGAGGAGAAAATGGACAAAAGCCATCGTGAGCGCACTGTTAGCTCAGTGGCTGTCACGCTGTGTGGCCCTTGTTCGAATCCCTTATGGTGTGATCTGAGCTAACGCTGTTTTAATCCTATCCGTACGTCGTGTTTTACTATCGTATCCATACGACGTGGGGAATTCTGTGCCACCACTTTCCAAAGAGAAAATTTACTCTTTAATTCGATCCGTACGCTTTGAATAGTAGTCTGTCAAAATGATTTTTTGAGAAATACTGAAAGTTTCAAAGAGATCTTCGTACTAGAAGTATTCTAAAATGTGAAGAATACAACCCCGGGTAGTACAAAATGACCCACAGGCGTACGGATAGGGTTAAGCAGTTCTTCTTAAGGCTCTCCACTTAATCTTGCTCGGTCGCATCGGAGATAGACGTTATATTCGGGAATCCTGCCTCTTTGAGAATCGTACAGTACTGACTGAAAGCGGCGTTTCGACCGCTGTGTGGCCCTTGTTCGAATCCCTTATGGTGTGATCTGAGCTAACGCAGGGAAGGGGGGAAAAGGAAGAGAGAGTGTATGTGTGTGTTTGTGTGTGTGTGTGTGTGTGTGTGTGTGTGTGTGTATGTGTGTGTGTGTGAGAGAGTGAGTGTGTGTGT